CACAGACTTAGCCTCTCTCCTGTGGATCAAGGAGGGACCCGCTCTTTTTAGAAGGTGGTTTAGGGACCAGGGGTGAACAAGATGAAATCCATGACTTCATGGAGCTTTTATTCCAGAGGGGGAGCTGACTATAAACGAGTAGACATACAAATAAATAATAAGAAAAATAATATTACAAATTGTGAAGGAAATAATGCAGAGTTAGGGACTAGCAAGACACTGGAGGGAGGGATGGCTAATTAAGATAGGGCGATCAAGGTATGAGTTGTGGCTTTATTTTTGTGAGTGTTTTCCTCATCCCCACATCATTGTGAACAAAGAAGCTAAGTGCCCCATTAGCTGCTGGCAGCCATCCCACACTCTGGGGGGAGCTAGTTATAGGACGAAGCCACACTATAGATAACAGACCGGAAAAAGGAAGTAAACAAACAAATGAGTCCTGATGTTGTGGTTAAGTCACTATACCACTTAACCCCAAAGTCCCCCTAACTCTGGACTTTCTAGTTGGGAAAGCTAACAACTTGTTCAGGCCATTTTGACTTGGGTTTTCAACGCCCAACAACCAAAGGCATCGTGGCCGATGTATGCTTCCTGTGGGTTATAATCCCCACCCCAGGCAGCTTATCCATCCAGCCACACACAAGTCGTCCTGTGAGGACTCTTACAAACTTAAGTTTCACCATTTTACATTTCCAGAGATGCCATGATGCAAGAGTGGCACTTCTTAATGTGCCTGACATCTTAATGATACTTGACAAATGTCTGTTGAACTGAATTGAGTGAATAAGCAGAAGTACTGCTTAAAAGGAGAAAAGAGGCAGCAAGTCCTAGTCTCCCCAAAGAAAAGGACATTCTAAAATAAAACTTCGCAGCCCTTTCTAGGTCACATACCTTATACCAGTTAACCTTGTACCTCCCCAGAGACCATCATTATCTTCATTTTATGGACAAAGAAATAGAGAATGAGAAAGGTCGAGTCTGGGACACAGTAGTTAAGTGATACTCAAATGAATGCAATGGAAAAAGAGGTGCCTTGGCCCAGGTGTGCCGGGAGAACATATTATTTCCAACCCAGCTCATTTCAGAGCAAGTTCACAAACTTCTCAGGTGGCTTATGATGTGCAAACTCTAGGCCTGGGAGAAGCAGAGATGCATAAGAAGCAAAACATGCCATCAAGGAATTTGCAATCTAGCAGGGATCCAGACAAAAAAAAACAACTATTCCTAGACGATGTGATAAATCTCGTGGGTCTCAGAAAGTCCTTCCTATTTTATTTTCTGTAACTCGACTTAATCTCAATAAAATTTTCCATTCCCCTCATCCCCGCTCCCACTGAAATTCTCAGTTAAGCCAGTCCAGGCTGTCTCAGTCAATCCCATATTTTCTTCTCCTTCTAGGAGACTTCCTAAGACTGTGGCTGAGTTCTAAGCATCATGTACTGAGTGGGTGTTAGAGGTGGAGGCAATGACTGCCTGGGTGTCACCTATTACCATTGTGCTGACCTTTGCCTGACCCTCAGGGGTGATTACCTGTGGTGTGGTTATCTGTCCATCTTCTTCATCATGATGCAGACACCGTCAGGATCCACTTGCTGGCTGACTCTTATTGTCCTTCTTGGAGACACAGGGAGATCTGGAGTCCTCCCGCACTGCTTGGGAGCCTAAGAAACTGCAAGAGGCTGCTTCAGACTCTCTCTGCTCTCAGCTTCTCGTGTAATCGTCTCTACTGTCTGCTCTCAGTCCTCAGAAGTATGAGGAACACCTGCATACTGCCCGGATTCAGGGTGGGGTTCCTCTGCTCTGAATACTCATGCTTATCTGGGGACACTATCATCCTACCCCATTTGAGGCTGACTCCGGGGAGCAGGATTCCTTCTCCATACATTCACCATCTGCTTTCTGGCTTTCACTCCAACCCTCTAATGTTCTTCCTCTTGGGAGGTGGAAGTGGGCAGAGGGCCTAGCTCAGCAAGCATTTTGTTAAATCTTTACAGCTTACACCTGGACTAGGATGTTGCTCTTAAGACCCAACAATTTAACCATATCGTTCTTGCTTGGTAGTCCTACCTGAACTCCAGAGACCTTTTATCTAGCAGCTTGTATGTAAAAAGGTCTCAAAAGGATAAAAGGAGATTTGGAGGGGAAAAAGCCAGATGACACACCAGAACCAGTGAGAGTAAAAAGCAGCATCTTCTGCCTCTAGGAACGTAATGTGATGAAGAACACAGGATGGGGCAGGCTGCCCTAATCATCACGGACCTCATCATGCACTTAGTTCACTCTCCATATGCTCTTTTTTCTTTTCTTTTCTTTTCTTTTTTAAACACCTCCAGCATCTGGTCTTCCTAGGTGGTCTCCCCTCCAAGTACTAACCAGGCCCGACCCTGCTTAGCTTCTGAGGTCAGATGAGATTCATATGCTCTTTAGGCAGTGTAGACTCTTGTGGAAAAGAGGAGGTCCCTCTTTTCTCATTTGTATTGGGGACCTTCTTAGATTAAATGGTGATAGGACCTTGGGTTTGCCTACTCGTCAATTTACTAAGCATCTTAGATCCTTAGTGCATTAGGTTATCACATCTCTGTGAGGAAGGCAGGTATTACCATCCTCACTTTACAAATGAGGAAACCAAGATTCAAAAAGGTTACGGGACTTGGCCCGGGGAAACCGGAGAATGACAACCATCTCCAGAACTTACTCTTCTGTTTCTAAATTTTTTGTGAGGGGAAACACTCAAAGGCACTGAGTAGAGACATGGTCATATTTGAATTTAGAGGGAACATTCTGGTAGGGAAGGGGAGGATAGGCTAAAGGGATCTAAGGCTGGAGAAAGGTACACTGGTTAGGAAATGATTGCAGTCATTCAGGTGTGAGATCATGAGGGCCTACCTTAAAAGAGGAGCTCAGAAATGGAGTAATGAGAGAGAGAGAGAGAGAGAGAGAGAGAGAGAGAGAGAGAGAGAGAGAGAAAGTAAAGAAGGTCAGTATACAGCATGAGAGAGAAAGAGAGAGAGAGAGAGAGACAGTAAATAAAGAAGGTCAGTATACAGCACGCATCAGAACCATCTAGAGGTCTTGTTAAAACACAGATTCCTGGGTCCCACCCCCAAAGATGCTGACTCAGGAGAACGAGGGTGAGGTCCAAGTTTTTTTACTTCTAACTAGTTTTCCAGCTGCTGCTGCTGCTGCTGCTGGTGATCTGGTGACCTTACTCCGAGAACCTCTTCTTTACAAGACTTGGCCACCAACAGGATATAGGAAGGGAGGGAGAGTGTGAAGCCTATGAAGACTTTCAGGTCTCTGCTATGGCTGTCTGGGTAGATAAGGACTAGAAGAGAAGAAGCTTATTGGGGACAAAAATGAGGGGGGGTTCGGTTTGGGATGTATCAAGTTTGGGGTCCCTTAGGAACCCCCAGGAGGAGATAGCTCATGGAAAGTTGGATATATATGTGTGGAACTCAGGAGAGAGAGAGAAGATTTGGAAGTCATCAGAACAGAGTTGGCCGTAGGCGTGAGTGAGATTGCTGAGGGAGTGGAGAAGGGGAAGCCCACAGGGCAGATTCCTGTGACCGAAGCTGAGTCTTGATCAAAATCATCAGTCTTCAAGAAAAATAAGATAGGCATGAGTTTCCACTGGTCATTTTGAACTGTACGCTTTTGTGTTTGATCACAGCGACCCAGGCTTAGGTAACAGTTTTATAGGGCTTTGAACTCCTCCTTAAGATTCTGATCAAAGGTTAGCTGTGTTTCACCACTGACGTGACAGACATTAAAAGAAACCTTTTATGTATTAATTTGGCCATTAAGAAAATCGTTTTGGCCAAACAGCGGAACCTTCCTAATCTTCAGTTTCTTCGTATATGAAACTGGGGACTGATACCCCTCTCACAGAGTTCCTGGGGACATGAGGATAATGAATGTTAAGCACAGCACCGGGCTGACACACAGGAGGAACTCGATGAGGCTAATTGTCATTATTGCCATCAGACCACCTTCTAGGTCAGGTGGCTTTGTTGACTAAACTTATTGGATAGGCGCCAAGGAAAGACTCGCTTCACATGGAATTCTACCCAATGCAAAGAGAGTGATTTAGAATCAACGATAGCAGTAATAGTATCAGTCTTATAATTATTGCAGTTTCAGAATTCAGAGGTACAAAATTCTTTAGAGCAATGCATATTGTCCATTGTTTCATAGTGTGTTTATGACAAATGAAGTGGAAGGAAAGTAACCTCCCTGTGTTCTAGGCAGGCTGGATATACTATTCCATTTAATTTTTCAATGTAATATCTTTAATAAGGCCCCATCGAATGGCTCTAATAGTTTCTTAGCAAAGGGAAGAATTGCTAGGTCTTTGCGATCCCAGCAAAGCAGATGGCTGGTCACAGTTCTGACTTGACTGACAGGCAGCCAGCTTTGTGTAGACAAACACAGGCTTTCTTTGGGTCATTTAAACTATGAGTCGCCAACCCCCAGTTAGGAACTGGGCTGCAATAGCAGGAGGTGAGCTGCAGGCTAGCTTCATCTATACGCAGCCGCTCGCAAGCATCACCGCCTCAGCTCCACCTCAGATCATCAGGCATTAGATTCTCATAGGGGCACTGGCCCCTGGTGCTGATTCAAATCATTCTATCACCCTCTCCTGTCTGCATTTTCTCTGGGAGCCACAGCACTTCTTTTTTTATTTGCCTGCTATTTTCCCCCAAACAAAACCCTTCTGCACCTGAAGTCCCCTTCGCATTACCTTTAATATGAATATCAATGTCAGCATCTTAACCAGAGAGCCTTATCTAGTCTAGCTGCTTTGATTTAGATGAGGTCTGGAAAGAAAATTGAATTTGTGGGGCTTGGCTGACATCTCTCCAAGTGCTCCTGTACTCTTCTTTCCAGAGAATTCTCACCTCTCCCCAGGTCCCGGTGTGCTAATGAAATAGATAATCTCTTCTGTTCCTGCTGGGCACAGAATGAGGCCCAAATGCATTTTCTAATGGTTTGTTTTCCAGCTGGGCTGAATAGAATCAAAGCCACAAGGCCAACGAGGACCCAAGACATCTAAAAGAACAGAGGAAGTCATTTAAAAGTCTAAAACATTGAGTAAAATAAAATTAAAGTAAAATAAAATCAAAGGCCAGTGGGGTTCTTTGTAGTTATTTTATTAAGAAGTAGGAGATTATTTTTATATACATATAAACATATGCCATTAACAAATATGTTGTAGTAGGTTATTTAACAATCAGCAATGCTAATGGTGTTTTTTTTTTTTAATTAAAGCATATATATATCCCCTCATCTAACCAACCCCTTAATACCTTCCCCTAATCCCTACCCCACCGCCACCAAGAACTTCTGCTAAGGGATCAGCAAACTCATCTATAGCCACAAACCCTTCTCTGAGTACTTCCTACACCGCCCTGCCTCAGTGGAACCCCAAGGCACCTGTGTGTCCCCTTACGATCTCCCAGCTCGGAGTCTGATGGTAGGATAATGGTCCTTCTTATTCTCCATTGCTACTTTGAGACCATTATTCCCCTACTCTCTTATTAAAACAAACTAACACTAAAACACACAACAACGGTAAACTCAGTTCCCTTGAAGTGCCTGCTGCTCTCCTATATTACTTCCCTCCCCCATGACTCCATTGTCAGTTTCCCTCGTTCATTGGAGACTTTAGGACCTATTCGTGGTCAGTGTCTCTTGTAATCCATGCCATTGAGCTTAATAACTTCTATATGCGGTTTAGCTGCTCACCCAACGCCTTGTGAATCAATTCATTGACCTTCTCAACTGTACTTCAACCCATGTGCCTATAATTTCACCCAGATCTTGTCATCTCTAAATACCTGAACCCCTTCCAAAGTCACGATTTTGCAAATCTGAGTTTTATCTTGCCAGGAATTCCTTGTCATCTCTAAATACCTGAACCCCTTCCAAAGTTACGATTTTGCAAATCTGAGTTTTAGACCACGTCTTATCTTGCCAGGAATTCTTCAGCCTCAACATATGCCATTAACAAATATGTTGTAGTAGGTTATCTTGCCTTATCTTGCCAGGAATTCTTCAGCCTCGTGGAAGCCTCCAATCTATTAATTCAACTATTTTTTTCCTTTTATTCACTTGCTCTCACTTGACATCACTTATATCTTTATGACTTATAGTTCATGATTTATCAATATCATCACTCCCCTTGTGCTACCTTTAACTATTTTACCCTTCCTTCTCTCATCATACTCATCTTACAAACCAAACATTTTCTATACCAGCACCTCCAGGAATGGCTATGGAAAACCCTAAAATGAAGCAAATTGTTGTCACTTTATATGAAAACCTCACTTCAAATAAGTACATCAAGACACCTAGCAATCCTACCTACTCTATCTCTCTGGTCAGCTAGACCCCATGTTCTCTCTGACGACATCTTCACGCTTTTTTTTTCAATCTTCAAATTTCCTATTCTTACCTCTTACTTTATGGTTAAAGTCAAAGCCATCATATTGAAGTGCGACTGTCTTTCTTTGACCAATTCAGTTAATCTGCTTGTGTCTGCATCGATCTTTCCTTCCGCAAGGGAGCAAGTGTCCTCCTCCTCTGAAAGACCTATCTCTTTCTATGTACCTGTTTTTCTCTCTCTCCAAACAATGCCTCTTCTCTATTGCACATCATTAACTGCCCCCTTAATTGGGTCGATTGGGTTAATCTCATCCACACACAAACTTGGTACAAGATCTCCCATCTCAAAAACTTTACAAACTAGCAAAACTACTCTGATGAGCCCGTGTCCTGCGAGAGCTCCATCCTATTCTCCTTACTCTTCGTGCCAACTTCAGATGAGTTGTCTCTCTCCGCTTCTCTTCACATTCACACTTCCCCACTTCGCCCTCGTCCCCACGCTGTTCTGGTTCCTCCCCTCGTCACTCCAGAACGGCTCCTCTCAAAGTCCCCGGTGATTTCTCTGTCCTCACCCTGCTCTGATTTGCTGCTGAGAGGGTGCGCCCCTTTCCTGACTCCCAGAAGTGACTGTGATCAAAGGATCGATCTTCTTGGCTTCTTCTTTCTCTGTTGTTCTCTATTAAACTTCTGGCTGTTTTGCCATTTTGCTTGAATCATGCAGATACCAGCCTCCTTTAATCGCTCTCCATGAAGCTCACATTATTATTATTATTGTTATTATTATTATTATTATCATCATCATCACTGCTCTTAGGCATGGGATTCTCGACTCTTCATTCCAAGTAGATTCAAGTCTCCACAGGCAGAGCCATGCAGCTTTTCTTCCTTATGGCCTACCTCTCCCACTAGGCAGAGTCCCGCCACCACTGCCCTGGAGCTGGGCCAGAGACCCCCTTTTCCCAGAGTGACACCCCTGCTCTACGAGTGGGTCCTGGGAGAAGGGAGTGTGGAAACACCTTATCTTCTCAGGTTGCCCATCCCAATGTGGAGTCCCTGCTCTGTAAGTGAGCAAGGGGGATGGCCAGCCAGGGCCCCAGGATCCTGACTTCCTGGAGGAGAGCCTCCACCCTACAAATGGGGGCTAAGCAAGGAAAGGGGGACCCGGTCCTCTTGGTGTGCCTATCGGGAATAGAACTTCTGCAGAATGGGGCTGGAGACTGAGAAACCCCAGCATATTCTACCTCTTCTCAGGTCAAACCGCAGCACCACACTGGGGCTTAAGGAGAGAAGGGGCCTTGGCTGCCCACACCCTGGGGAGAGCGTCCACGGCGTGGAGCTGGGGAGGGGAGGGTGATGCAGCAGGCCTGGCTCTAATGCCACAGACTTTTGCTGTTCTTACTGAGATTTTGTAGGTTTTCTTGAAAGAATGTTTCTCCTTTGCTGTCTACCCTTAGGTCACTTTCCAGAGATTTTAAATGATGGATATTTTAAATAATTTTCTCAGTTAAATTGTTATCTTGCTGTGGAGGAAGTCTTCCAAGCTCGCTACTCCACCATTCCAGAAGCCCCACCTCTTAATGCATCTTTTTTGTTTACTACAATGTTTATCGACATGTTAGTAAAGGGAATAACAGCACAAGCTCCAGTCTAACCAGCCTGGATTCAAGTCTACTCTGCTGTTTGTTAGCAATGTTACTTAGAACAAGTTATTAAACGACTAATAACTACCTCAGTGGATTGTACTGAGGATAAATTAGATAATCCATGGGAAAATGCCTCCCTTGCAAGATATTTCACTCAGGCGCCTAGTAAATGACAGCTCTCATGTTCAGCCTTGTTAACCTGCGCATGGTGACAGATTGCCACAAGGGGGCACCAAGAGCCAGGTGTAATGATGAAGTACTCAAGGGATTCAACGAGGTCATCCCAACAGTTATACATTTGCAGAAGACCGGAAGTAGGTCTTTTTTCCAGAAGATGAAAATTGAAGGCACTTCCTAAGCATCATCAGGTCCTTTCCCAAATGGAAGCTTAGCTATGCACAAGGAAGTATGCTGTGAAGAGGAATGCCTCGTTTGCTTCACAGGGTACTATTCCTGTGGGCAAGGTCGCGTTCGGGAGCCAGGGGGGTGCAAAGGTCCCTTAAAGAACAACCAGATACAGTGAGTTGGTATTTACTTATTGAGTGCTCACTATGCCCTAAGGATGCTAACCAGCATAAGGCGTCATCCTGGTCCTTTCATTCTGATCGAAGAGGGCCCCGGGGGCTTGGCCAAGGACTTGACCTTTGTTCAAAGAATGATGAAGGGTCAACAGATACTCTGGAGCAGGGAGGAGGTAACATAATGGAGAAGGCACCTAGCACGAATTATTTGAGTGGGTGCTGGAAAGAAAAGTGGCAAAGTCAGGGATGCCCCTGCAGTGTTGCAATGGACGGGTGTGATGCCAAACTTTGTTAAAGCAAAGCCTCTTCATAAAACTAAATTAAGAGAAACACCAAGAGTTACGAGAAATAAATATGAGGCTCTTGTTTTGGCTAAAACAGGAGTTTGGAACCTGAATTTCCGCCTACTAGGCTTCTTTCTCACCTTACAGCCCCCCAAATGGTGAATTGGCTAGTTTTTAAAAACCAAATCAGATGTTGGAAGAACCTTGGGTGTGTCTCTACCTATACAATTTGAAAGCTGCTCAGTGGTCCAAACGGTCAAGTGAATGGGTGAATGACTGCGAAGGTGGAGAAAATGAGGCAGAAGGAAGACCCAATACCCTTACACAAGCCACCTCCAAGTGTCCTTACTGGGTCACAGCTGCATCCTATGCACTTTGCTCCTTCCTCCTTGTACCACTTCTCCTGTTTCTCTGCTCATTCTGCTCATTGCCTTACACTAGGTTCAGGGTCTGAGCTCAGTCTTTGTCATTAATCTTGATTCTTGTCCTTGGTTATAATTTGCATTTGCCTCTCACTTCCAAGAGACAACCCAGCCTGACCCAGCCTTATGAATGGGAGTCCCAGCATGGATCTAGGAGGCCGCAATTTTTGCCAGGAAAGAAGAATAAAAAGGCTCTAGCAACTGATTATATAGAGAGCCAGAACTAATAAAGGAAGGGAAAAAAGGAAAAGGGTTATTGATAAGCTAATATGTATTGAGTGGTGTCTGACACATTGCCAAGATGTTATTATTTGCATCTTTTATACAACTTAGCTTTATATATGCACATTATATGTTTCGTATCATATATATTTGTATAAATATATGGGAGGCACATGGGAATAGGACAAGTTTAAATGCCACAAAGCACACTGTTTTGATGAGGTTCAGCCATTTTTCCTGAATAAGTGTTTCTCCAGTTGTTGCACGACTTCGGGTAATTTTCAGAGTTCTGAAAATATTGGTTCTGATTGTTTTTGTCAGCGTTCTCATTGCTTTTACCGATGAGTGGATTTTCAGAAGCCTTCACTCTGCCACTGTGGAAAGTGGAGCCTTGGGTCACAGTGCTTCCTGAGCGTCTGTATCCACTGCATCGCTCACTCATCCTTAGCAGGCAGTCATCGAAAAACCCTGAGTCTTTTTTCACAAACTGCTGGCTACTCCTTCCTGTATTTGATTGTGTTTGAGCAGGTTTAAGACTTCATTCTCATTCATTAAGTTCTATTTCCTTCATCTTTTGTTGTTATTCTAAGACGTCAAATAATTTTGAATCCTGGCTTTTTTTTTTTTTTTTTTAGTTTCATT